AAATTACATTTGCATTGAAGCAAAATTAGGCCTGTGTGACATTTTTAGACTGACTGCAGATGTGAGCTCGCATTATTGTGGGGCTAATCCCATGCTTCTTAGAGCACGCTGGGTCTCTAATTATTGTACATTTATGTTTTCAAAGAGAAAGTGGCTTGATGCATTGCATTTCCGCCTGGTAAAAATTTAAATAAATGAAAATAGCAGCAAAGGAAAAAAAAAAAACACTAACAGAAAAACATTTGTGAAGTCACTGTATATCTATACATGCTGAATACAAAATGCTTTGGATTTTATTGGGAACTAGAGTAATATAAACATTATAAATTTGAAAAATGTGACGTAATTTTGACCCAAAAGGTATGATGTTATGTGTCTCAGCTTTTCATTTATAAAGACATTCTTCAAACCCTGTCAAAATGGCAAGCCAAATGGTATTCTCCTCAATTCTAAACACACATATTGATTATAATGTATTTAAGAGTCAAAATGAGGAAGTAATTTTATCCCAGGTGATATTACCATTAATATCTTATAAATTCTTGAGCCAAGAAGTCCAGAAACCCAGAACTATGATGGCGACATTGACAGCATTGCACATAATTACAACCATAACATCACTTGACAGGTTACATTACCAGAAAAATATTTCACAAGAAAATATGTGTAATTTCAGATGAATATGAACTGTATCACTTTTATAGTACCTTTGTAGTTAGATTATTCTAACAAATAAAGCCCAACTTAAATTCAGTAGTTAAGAAAACATGAACAATATTTATTTCTTCCTTTCACAAATAGCTGCCATCTTAAATGACATCTTTCAAAAAATAAGGAAATAGGTTTAAACAAATAAATTTTATATAAGCCAAAAAATAATTTGAATAGAACATGCTCCTTATAATAGTTGGCATATAACAGACATTCAATTAAAGATAGCTGAGTAAATATTGGAGATGACAGATGTAATTTATTTTTATTTGCATTCAACAGACAATATTATAAACTATGGAAGCCTTTAATAAGCTTGTAGTTGATTTTATATACCTGATATTTTTCATGTTTCACTTCTTTAAGGACTATGACCTCCACAATAAGCAGCTTTTTATTTGTATGAATTATACATTGTACTTTCAAAACATATACAATGAGGAAAATTAGAAGAGATAAAATTAACAGATACAAAAGTTGTCATAATTTATGCCTGTTCTCTAGAAAGTAAGCAACAAATTTTACCTACCACAGATTGGACTAAAATTATAGGAGGGGAGTGAAAATGTGTGTTTCAGAAATGCTAATATAGCTACCAGCAGTATGAATGATGAACATTTTAGCAAGGAGACTAGAAAAGGGAAAAAATGGTAAATTTTAAAATAAAACTGAGATAGAGTAATGGAGAAGAGACAGCTGATTTATTCATTATTTTTGAAGGGAGTAGTGACTGACTTTATCGATTATGCACCTACTATGTGGGAGACACCAATCCTTCTTTAGTCCACTGTCTTGGTTATGACAATGATCCTGTGAGGTAAATAGTCACAGCCCCATTTTAAAAATGAGAAAACTTAAGTCATCATAGTATCTGAAGAAATAAAAATAAAAAGAGTAAAAAATAAAAAAAAAATAAAAAGAGAAAAGTGAAGCACAGAAAGACTAAGGACTTGCCCAAGCTCACACAATCA